CAGCGCGCTGGGACCCTGAGTCCCTCTCTGTCCCGCGCCGACGTGGCAAGGCCTTGGCAGACACCGAAGCCCGCACCGACCTCGCCTCCCCGGTCCCATTTCCTTGTTTTGAGGGGAGGGATTTGCTGGTAGAGACTCAGGTGCGTTGCGGAGGGAGGGCGTTGCATGTGAGATGCACCGGCCCCTTGCATGCATCGCCCGTGGACAGAGACCACCAAGGCCCAGGGAGCCACCCGGGCCACGCAGCCTGGAAGAGAAGCCCACACTCTTCCGTCTTTCCTCCTCCGCAATAGGCCATTCCTTAGAGAGCAGTCCAGGCCAAGATGCTCCTCTTCCCCGAGAAGGGGCCCCTCCTTATCAAGAAAAAAGAATCTGGGTCTGAGAGCAAGTGCATTAGGGTTGAGTCTTTGAAACAGGAATGGATGTTAGCAAAACTGAGAAGGGCCTTCCAGACGAAGAGAACTGTCCCACCGCATCTAGGCCTAGAAGCTAAGGGTGCCAACGGTTTGTAGCAGAACACTTGAGAATATGAACCTCTGATGCTCAGTGGTGAAGATGAGGTTGAATGAGCCAGAGGAGACCAAAAGGGACCTTGAACCACATAGTCAGAGGTCCAGGTGGTATACCAATATAATGAAGAACTCCCCCCCTCAATCCCGCCCCCCAAGGTTGCCTCTCAGTGCCCTTCCCACTAAAGCAGCTTACCAGGAGGGCCCAAGTTTGTCATCTAATCATCTCAACTATTCATTAATTCACTGTTCATCATTTAGCACCTTTGTATACTAGTTACTAGGCTGGGCCCTGGGGATATAGTGATGAAGTAGACAGACAATGTTTCTGCCTTTATAGAGCTTTTGTGGGGAGGAAAGAGACAGTCAGAAGCCAGGCGCTGGTGGCTCACGCCTGTAATCCTAGCTACTCAGGAGGCTGAGATCTGAGGATCGCGGTTCAAAGCCAGCCGGGGCAGGAAAGACCATGAGACTCCTATCTCCAATAAACCACCAGAAAACCGGAAGTGGCGCTGTAGCTCAAGTGGTAGAGTGCTCGCCTTGAGCTGAAGAGCTGAGGGACAGCACCCAGGCCCAGAGTTCAAGCCCCATGACCGACAAAAAAAGAAAAAGAAAGAGACAGTCAGGAAGGGGAATGGATAAGGTAATTCCTGATAGCAAGAAGTGCTAAGACAAAAATAGAACAAGGTTTTGAGCTACTAAGAGGTAGGCTTGAACCTAGTAGTCCTAGTTTCTCTCCACTCCAAGCAGATTATAGCTTTTACTGACCATAAATGGCAGGGTGAGGGTATTGATACAGCATATGGCCCTAGGAAATGTCTTTCCTCTGTTGTCCAGGCTGGATAGAGTTAAAACTCAGTGGATCAACAGGTGAGTGGTGTGTGTGTGTGTGTGCGCGTGTGTGTATGTGTGTGTGATTTTGCACCCTCCTCCCAACATGTGATAATGTCAAGAGACTTTTTTTTGTTTTTCATTGGTTATGGGGCTTGGACTCAGGCCTGGGCACTTTCCCTAACCCTCTTTGTGCTCAAAGCTAGCACTCTACCACTTTAGCCACAGTGCCACGTCCTGTTTTTTGAATGGCTGATTGGAGATAAGAGACTTATGGGGACTTTTCATCCAAGCTGGCTTTGAACTGTGATCCTCAGATCTCAGCCTCCTGAGTAGCTAGGATTATAGGTCTGAGTCACTGGTCCCCAGCTGAGACTTTTTTTTGGGGGGGGGGTCCAGTCATGGGGCCTGAACTCTGGGCCTGGGCGCTGTCCCTCAGCTCTTCAGCTCAAGGCTAGCGCTCTACCACTTGAGCCACAGAGCCACTTGGCTTTTTTCTTTTTGCTTATGTGGTGCTGAGGAATCGAACCCAGGGCCTCAGGCATGCAAGGCAAGCGCTCTACCACTGAGTCACCTTCCCAGCCCCTGAGACTCTTTTTTAAGACAAGATCTCTTTGTCACCCAGGCTTGCCTGAAACAGTCCTTCTGCCTTAGCCTTCCAAGTGTTTTGACTCCAGGCATGCATCATCACACCTGGCTTTTTTAAACATTTTTGATTTTTAAGACTAAGCATCTAATGGGTAGAGGCCAATGATGCTGCTAAATATCCTACAACAAATAGGACAGCCCCACTTCCCCATAACAAAGAACTGTTTGCTCATAGTATCAATAGTGCTAAGGTTGAGACAAACCTATCTAGTCTGAGAAATTTGTGTCCAGTGCTCAAGACTATCCTATCCCTTTTCCTGACTCTTCTCAAAGAGCAGCCTGGAATTTAAGGCTAGGCTTCCCAGGCACAGGGTAGGGCTTCTTATCCTCTAATGATATAGAGTTAGCAGCTAAAAAATGTATCCATTGGTGCCAAAAATTTGATTGCAGTAGTATAACCTACTGATATCAACTAGCCTTATATGTGTTGCCCAAAGCCTTGAATAAAATTAGTGATCAGTAATCAGAGAAAGATGGAAAAGAACAAAAAAAAGATTGCCCTAGGGTCCTAATGATCATTTTATCAAAAAAAAAATCCACTAAGTCTGTTTAGGTACTCATGTAGGTATTTAAGAATACTGCACACTCATTTAGTTTTCCCCAGAGATATCATGGACATAGCTCTTGCCCTCAGTATGTTCCCATTCTAGAAGGCAGATCAACCATATACAAGCAACTACAGTATTGTGGATGGAATGCTAGCTGACTGAGCCAAAAAAGGAATGGGGTGTTGCCTTTCCCCTCCCTCACATCACCTTCCCATGACTGCACAGTGTGTATTTGTACTGGCTAATATATGTTTGAGTCATAGAACATGAATATCCATTTATGAGTATTCATTGTATACTTACACTTACAGATGTTCATTATGTGTGCACACATCTCTAAGCAACTTCATGCTAATTTATGTGCCAGTGTGTATGTGTTTCGGTATGTATGAGAACATTGCACACACTTTCATATGTTCTTAGTATTTTTGCATGTATGAGGGAATGTTGATTCTTGGGGGAGCACATGCATATACGGGGCTGGGTATATATCTGGGATTTGTTTTTTGTTGTTGTTTTTGTTTTGTGTTTTTGTTTTTTTTTACCATGCAGGTATCTCTGGTGGTGAACGTGGCTAGTGAGTGTGGCTTTACAGACCAGCACTACCGAGCACTGCAGCAGCTGCAGCGGGATCTAGGACCCTACCACTTCAACGTGCTTGCCTTTCCCTGCAACCAGTTTGGCCAGCAGGAGCCAGACAGCAACAGGGAGATTGAGAGCTTTGCTCGCCGCACCTACAGTGTATCTTTCCCCATGTTTAGTAAGGTCGCAGTCATTGGCACTGGTGCCCATCCTGCCTTCAAGTATCTGACCTGTGAGTCCTAGCCCTTCTTGTCCTTATCTTCCATCAGCTGGTGGAGGCTATGGCTCCCTGGGCAGGAGCCACTGGCTAGCTGGTTAACTTTTCCCTTCCTGACCCTCTCTGGTGGATTGATGTGTTATTCTAGCACTAATCTTGGAGGAAAGAAGGGGTAAGTTTGAGTCCAGAGGAATTCCTGCATAAGAATATCTCCACACCTGCTGCCTCCAAGTTCTCCTACAACCTAAGGACTTCCTTGGGATTGTGTTTCACCTGCAGGGGTTCTTGAAAGGAGACTGGTATAATGTTCAGTCAATAGAGATTAGTTGAATTCTTGGACTTCTTAAGATGGAGAAACCAAGACACAGATTTGGTTGGGGATGCCATCTATCTTGAGCAGGCTAACATCTCCTGTCCTGAGCCAGAAGCAGTCTCTTGATGCCAGGGAAGGGAAACCTAAGCTAAAATACTAGATCTCAATGTTTCAGAAATAGTTACCATATCTAGCCCTAGTAGCCTGAGAACCACAAAATGAGAGTGAGGGTCTCACAGAAGCCTGGTGCCAGTGGCTCATGACTGTAATCCTAGCTACTCAGGTGGCTGAAATCTGAGGATTGCTATTCAAAGCCAGCCCAGGCAGGAAAAGCCATGAAACTCTTTTTTTTTTTTT